TGGTGCAAGGAGCATGGTGGCCATGCAGCTGCCTGGGGCACGCTTGTCACCCTGTCCTCCGACAGGGCACCTGGGGCTGCGACTGAGCTCCTGCTGGAGAGGAGCTCCTCTACGTGCAAAGGCACGCTGTAAGGGCAGAGCTGGCACTTCTGGCAGCACAGGAGAACTCGGGCTCCTTGCTTTGCTCTCCCGTAGGCAGCTCTTTACCTACTCTAGCCATCCGTGTCCAGGCTGAGTTCCGTGGGTGTGGGGGAAAGGGGAGCCCTCTTGCCTTCATACATCCTTTTGGATCAAAGGTTGGGCAGCATCTCAGCTGGCGGAGCCGGACTTTGCTTTTCGGTGCGGCTCTCGCAGGCAGGGCTCAGGGTGGAGCGGGCTCTGCCCTGCCCACCTGAGCCAAGCTGCTCTGGTGCTGCGGCCCCAGGCACTGGAAACGGCAATCTGCTCTAGGATTTCCAGCCTAGCTCTGTGTCCAGCTTTGGTTGCCTTGGCTCACTCAGGAGCAGCTTTCTGATGTGCAACCAGCTTCACAGCTCGGAGGATTAATTATGTTAGTTATGGAGACACTCTCTTTTTCTTCCCGACCCCTAAAACTTGGTGAATCTCCTGTAAACTTAAAGGAAGTCTTTGGGAACAAGACCTCCTTGCACTGGGCAACTCTTAAGTTGAGTTTTGGCCAGAACTGCCCTTTTCCTGTGACTTAAGCCCATCGTTTCCATGTGCTGGCGCTGGCTGATGATCCTGGTCGTGTATCCCAGCCCCTGGGAGGTCTGTGGCTGAGGTGACCTAGCAAGCTCCTTGTTTCTACAACATCCCAGTCTGCTTATTCCAGCTTGGGGAAGGTGGTTGAAGCAGAGCACGTGCTGGTGGACAGACAGCGATAACAGCGTTGCTGCCTGGCGCAGAACACCCCGTCCTTGCTGTGCTCCTGGCTCCAGTGCCAAGCTGGTGTGACTTGGAAGAGGTTGCTCTCTGTGTCTGATAGAGATAGAGCTGTTTATCTAGTGGCGAAACCTCTTTGCAAGAGCTTCCAACCTGGTAAGCGCACTTCATTAATCCTGGAAAAATCAGAGGATCCTGAAAAGGCCTCTGTCACAGCCTGCGGAGCAGAGCATGTGGAGCTGTGGCTGCTGGATTTCAGACTTGGGGTGTTATGGATGTACTGAAAAAGCACTCTCCCTCTCATTTTTCTACTTTCTCCTTGGGTCTGGCAATAAGTGCATCAGATTTACAGCTCTCTGCAGCTGTGACTGCACTAAGTTGGATCATTCATGCCAGCAGAGAAGCTGCTTGCAGGCTTGGAGGGGAGCAGGACCCATCTGCTTAACCCTATGGATGACGTGGCCAGCTCAGCAGGGCTGCCAGTCACACGCTGCTTCTTCGCTTGCTCAGAGCTCTGCCCCTTTGCCTCTTTTAGTGGCTGAGGCCACATCTTGTGCAAGGAAACACTGGCTCCTTACTGGCAGGAGGAAGTTGGATGGTTGCTGT